TTTACAGAGTAGCAAGCAGGGTATTTATGTAGTTTTAGTAGAACCACCTTGTCCAAAAAACTTGCTCCAGTGCATGAACCTGTTCCACCTGGAAGCAGCTGATTAGAGTTTGGGAGGTACTGGTTCCTTCTGAGAGGTCAACAGGTTCCTGGGTGGAAATGAAAGTGTTCAGGGATTTGGCAGAAAGAACTATTTTTATCTTTGGAGCAAAATGAGTTTTCAGTGTAGAGATATGAGAAGTAAATGTATCATTCATATCTGAACAGGTGTTTAAAATCTTATCCTTCCAGCAATATAGTAAAGAAGCTATGCTATTATGTCAGGCTGTGCTCCCACAGCAGAATCACTTCCACAGGAGGCAATTCTGAAACACTGCTATCTCTATTTTAAAATAATCTAGCATGGGATCAGAGCAGGAGCTATGGACGTTGTCACCAACAATTTGTGGTGTCCAGGTAGGTGAAGCAAAGATAATCTATATGGCAGTGATAACACAATATGGAACTTCAGCTGAATTCCTTGGAAAACCTAAAGCTTGCTTCTGTAGAAATATTAAAAGTCTGATTTTAGATGCCTCAAGAAAATACTTATTTGAGTCATTGTCTACATCATTTATAATTAATTCAATTGAGAATTCTCCTTGTACATAATCTGTATTCTGAATACCAGCACGTTCTGAATATTTCTGTTGGACATTTTAAGGTTCCTTTTCTCATAAAACTTGCATCTAATTCAAGATAAAGACAAGTAAATCAGACCAAAGTCATAGTGCAGTGACTTTCTATATATATGTAAAATATGTAGCTTGAATAGATGGTAAAAGTGCCTCTTCAAGTAATCAAGATAATTACATGACATATTACCAATTCAGTGGCTGCTTTAGCAACTGCTAAGTAATTTTTAATATTAGCTTCTTTGTGTTTCAGCTAGCTATGAGCTGCCTGAACTAACAATAGCAGAGAGGATATTAATTTAGCACTGAAGATGCATGCTGTAGTTTGACCCAAATATATCCTATTGTTGTAGAAATACTTGGTGAAATATTATGGCTCCTGTTACTCAGCAATTAAACTCACTGGAAACGTTCTGACGCTTGTCAGAAAACATTAATTGGTAGAACACAAACTGTTTTTTATCAAAATTACCTCTGGCTTGACACGTTCTGGCTGAATGCCAACAGAGCGATGAGGGACATGGAAGCCAGTGGAACCAAGAGTCCTGACCCAGGTGTGCTCATCCCCGGGAGTTTCCCACTGTTGAAGCTCCACTCTTTCAGTGGGAATCTTTGGATGAAAAATCCCAGGACTTCAGCTCTGCAGTGAATCTCAAATCCCTACCTCTAGCTAAAACCACGAACCTTGGGATTTTGGACAGCAGCTCAGCGAATTCAGCATTCATTTTGTCAGCCAACAAAAATTTGTCAAGAATTTGGGATTCATAGAATACATTTCAAGTATAGCTAGAATATTTAATTATCAAAATAAATTAATGCTTAAAAAAAAAAAAAAAAAAAAAACCTGCATGGGAAATGTCCATCTTGGCACTTAAATTAATACAGTTTTATAATATTAGTCTGGAACTTGAGATCTGGCAGTACCTACCTCTGAGTTTTTCATCAGCTTAATTGAGCTGGCTGCCATCAGTTTCTCACAGCAGGCAACTAGAAGTTATGGCAGAGCAGGAAAATACCTATTGAGAAATGCAGAAAGTCCAGGAGATGCAATAAATCAACTTCAGAATATTTTGTTTATGTGGTGAAGTATAAATGAAAACTATCTTTGCACACTGCAATAACTAAGCAGTCCTAGAGCTAGTTCTTGTAGATTTCATCATTCCCATGTTTAGAAGTAATTCATCCAGCTCAAGAACACTAAAATTGTAGAAAGAAAAATCAGGATTGGAGAAGAAACATGGCAGATATAGCAATCAAAACAAGTCACACGCGTAACAAAACATTGGGTTTTTTTCCCCCCAGTCTCACTCAGAATCATAGCATATGTACAATCCGTTACAGGATAAATAAAAACTAAGCCTCATTTCTAGAATTTAGCTTTACTAGCAACCACACACACACACACACACAAAAAAAATTGATGCCCCAAAAAAATAATTATATGCCACTTCCCCTGAAAGATCACAGCAGACATGCAAGCTTTGCTTCAGACAACAAAAAGCAGACAGTCTCCAACCTATCCTTTGTGAGGACCAAAGGTACACCTTCTTCAGTACCTAGGCAGCCTCAGATTGAGCCTTGTCTCTGGCGTTTCCTTCATTCCCAAAATGCTCTTTGGCAGGAGTCCTTCCCCTCTTTGCAACCTCTCATAAAATACCCCATGGGCCTTTTCCTTAGGCACCGCTCGGGTATCTGACAGCAGCCACCTTCTGATGCAAGGTTGTTAAACAGGGAAGGGAAAATCAGCGTTACCAGATGGGAAACAATGACAGGATCAGGACACAACCTCTCTGCAGCTTTCTACATTGACTGTTACTGTGAAGAAGTAGCTGCTGCATCCCAAGTCTTCGCAGGCAAAATGCCTCCAGGAAATATTGTTATTGATACAGTAGGCAGAATAGATCCTTGACTTTCATTCATACATAAGAGTTGTCTGGAACTTAGAAAAATGCTTCTGAGTCTCAATCATGGAGCTCTTCCTATTCCTGTACATTCATCTATCTTTGTCCTGCCACAGCCTCTTTCCTCCTCTATAACTTTCTCTTGCCTGACTTTGTTACATTAGTGCTTCTTTTTCTCTCTTTGGCATCTTTCTTTTTATTGACATCCAAAGAATCGTTAGTGTTTTCTGCTCTCAGATGAAGCCCTCTAACTCCCATTTCTCTCTTCAGCCTTCATTCCAAGTATTATTGTCACTAGAACTGACTGTGACGCCTCTACAGAACAAATCCAAAATACATTCATGGCTCCCCTTCATGTAAAAAAAGAAGAAAAAAAAAACCAAAAAACAAACCACCAACCTTGAAAAGGAAGGTCATTCACCTCTACTACTCTCCCTGATATTGTTTCAGTACCTTCTGGAATACTTCCAGCACACACAACTTTGGTTGTGGAGAGCTACTTAGTGTTACATATTGGTGAAAGCCGAATTCTGGTATAGAAATAAGTTTTGCAAAAATACTTTGCAATAATACTCTTCCCCAGGATAGTAATAATAAGGTCATGTTTGGCAGATCTCCTTGCACTGTTACAGTTGTTTTTTTTTTTTTTTCCAAAACTTTCAGGAGTTACCGGATACAAAAGAATTACAGATGAATTCCAATTCTTATAATCCACACAGCATCATTACCTTAATTAAATGGCTTAAGAGTGAGAATCTCAATATCAAAAGGTGCCAGCTTGCTGCCACCTGTAAAGGACAGACACAATGAAAAATATTAGAGGAAAATAATTTTCTTAGGGATATCCTTTGAATTACGGTGAAGTATATATTTGCAAAAAAACTTTTTCTGAAATCTTTCCAGTGTTTGTTACCTCTGTGATCAGGATGTTGGCAGCCATCCACCTGGTCAGCACAGCTGGGTCTCATTAAACAGATTCTACACAATCCTTCAAACTCAGTACGTTAAAACACGACCGAGCAATACCAGCCCCTTCTCATTAAAATTACACAGAAAAGAGACCATCACTTGATGTGAGTTTTAGGATGCTTACACTAAGACCTTATCTAAAGGACAGATTTATTAGCAGGCACAAATTTCAAGAATGCTGCCACAGTGTACACATTCAAATTCACTTTGCTGAGAGACTACTCCCTATATACATATGCCACCACGGCTTTTTCCAGAATGCCACAGCAGAAAGAAAGCTTTGCTAGGCAATGGTAGTCAACATGCTGCTCTTTCATTGCCTGGGATATAGCCATTACTCTCATCATCTAAAAGCTTTAGATATCATTGTCCTGTATGTGATGTTGTCAAGGGCTGGATGTCGCTACCGCTTCCATCTTTCTCTGCTTTCTAATCAGCAGTCATTGTTATTTAATATTGTGCCTGCCAAGTGTCAAAAGCAACCTAGAAGACTTATTCTAAGCTGTGTTTTTCATTTCTACATGTTCAGCTCAAATTCCAGTTATGCTGCAACTCAGAATTTTGTGTTGCAATATGATGCTCTTCTTGTACAGCCAAACCTAGTATCTAGTACAGCCATGGGCATGTGGAGAGCCCTAAACTTAGCAAACACAGCTCAATATCCAAACATCCCAGAAATAGTTTGTGCAGTTCACTGGCTCCAAGCTGGTTCCAGTGATGAGCAGTGTGAGTTTTGTTATGGCTGTAGATGTGGGAAAAAATCATGGCCCCTATGTCCTTTCATGGTCACTTCTGTAAGTTCTAACAACCACATGTAACCAAGAGTTCGGCTTCTTCTTTCATCACCATCTCATTTTACATAACCAGTTAAACATCACCATTTAACAACTGCCTTATTGTTACTGCCTGTGCGAAAGGACTAATTAGGCTCTAGGAAACTTCTGCAATGGAAGACAAGTCAGTCTTAACAGATTTTTCAGGACAACCTGTCTTCTGGTACTTGTTTTGCATAGAAATTAAAGGAAACTACATTAAGAGACGTGTCACATGAAACAGTAGTCTGCAGTTCATAGGAAAGGATCCTCTCTTATTCTCTTGATGAGAATGTGAAACAATATCCTCCACTAATAACCACAACACAGAACTCCAGAATAAACTGTTCAGCTGATAAATTAGAACTTGCTCTTGGAAAAATGTTTATTTATTTTGAGTACATGCTTTTCATTGTCCTCTCTGAGAAAACTGGAGTTTGTTTTCTACTCACCATTTGCCAATCTGATTTGCTCAGCTCAAAAATTGCTGACCATTTTGCAAGTATGTGAGGTCTCCCATGACCACTGGGATGTCCATGGAGTAGAGCCACCCTCTGAAGGCAACTAGCCACTGCTACACGATTCACACTCCTTCTGGGAGTTTTGTTTCTGGAATCCTGCCCAGTTACTTCTGACAAGCTGGTTGTGCTGTAAGTGCTGCAATGCAACTAAAAATGAGGAGGTTTTGCATCATTTTCTATAAATTTTGAAACACTGAGCCCTGTCATTTCTTTTGCCCCCAAGGGAAGTCCATCATAAAATCTACAGATTGCACTACTCTAATGGTAAATTTTCCCTTTTATCTGGGCAAATAGCCAGGCTATGAAGCTTTTCTTGTCAAGAGGAACTAATGGCTGCCTCTGTCATTTTTTTCCCCTTCAATTATTTAAGCTTTCCCTACACTCAGGTTGGCTTCTTGCTGGCAGCACTGTGGACTGCGTCTATTAATCATTGACTGTCATTGTATTTTAAAAGAGGGAAAGTGAAAAGATTGCCTAAGAATAAAAATAGAAATTTCCTGTTTTTTCCTGACAAATAAATGATAGCTATATTTTTCCCGGCTTTACACTGTCTTCAAATATGCTTTCCCATTTTCCAAATAAAAATAACATTCGAGACACACAAAGCAAATTGGCTGTTTCCAGAAGGTCCATATTTCAGGACGTCCTTTCTCCTGTCCTGTCAAGGTTTGGTAGTCTTTACTAAAGCTTTGGAGTCCTTCCCTGCAACCATCTCTAAAAGAGTATCAAGGAAAAAGGACTATGTTCTCAATGTATTATTGGAGGCTTAGCCTCCTAAATCAATGAGAAGCTATTTCTATCAGTGGTAAAACTAACCTACTTAATTATTTGCCAGGAAAGCTCTCAGCACTCTATATTCTTAAACCCTCTCTCCTATCCTTGTCCAAACTGACCTCTTTGCACCACAGTCAGGATCCTCCTCTGCAAGCCATCCCAGTTGGCCTTCTCAATGAAGAGATCATAAGGACATTCCAGGCCCATACTCTTTTCCTGTACACTTGGACTTCCCACAGCTTGTCATCCTCACAGCTCTTCCTCTTCCTTAGCTGTGTGCTCCTCTGGAAACTGCAGGCATGACTGAATACTTCACTGTACTGAAAGACACAATAAACCATAAGGGCATTTTTTTTTTAAAGAAAGATAAAGCCCATATCAACTCAGACAACAGAAAAACATTTGAGCTTCTTCCTCAATATAAACTCTCAGTTTTGCTTTTGAGAGACTGAAAAGCCACTACAAGCAGAAAATCATATCAAACTGCTTCTATTCACCGCACACTGTTTTGCACTTACAAAAACTATTGCCATGTGCCTGACCCAGTCACTCAAAAAAAAAAAAAAAAAAAAAAGAATTTGTATGTCTCACTCTGATGCTTTCCTGTAGGGTCCAAGAAATGAGAATTTCAGATAAAATAGCATCCTATAAAGAAATGGCCTGTTGAGTAAGTGTAATGAAAATACTCCTTGAGTTGCAGCGCATTCTGACAGACACAAAAGTCAGCTCTAGCTGATGGAAATAAGACAGATGCTAGGACTCAAAGGAGCTGAACCAATATGGCTAAAATATTTTGAAGTCAATGTAAAATTGGTTAGGACCTAAGGAATTTGATCTCTCTTGTTTCATGAAAAATGAAATATACAGGTGATGCTTTCTCTGCATTTTATTCTATGGAAACAGAGTATAAGAATAGAAAACATTGTGAAAATCTTTCCAGGAAAAAGAACTTGCCATGCATGGGTTTTAATATTGACTTTATGCTCTGCAGTACGTTCATATATTTATATGAGTAATAAGTTACCTTTATTACCACCAAGTTTAATAACGTGCATGTTATCACATATTATTAAATATTATTACATACTTGCTATAATACTTACATGAACATAATATCATAAATTACCTGAGAAATGTCTGTCACTCATGGCTTTAAATATATTTGCTACGCTGCACTGAAATGTTTACAATTTAAATAATCAGAAATAGTGCATAAGAATGCTTTTTCTTTTCTGACTGCTGAAAAAAAAAAAATGAACTTTGAGGTATCTGTGTCGGTCTACAGCTGAGGGATATTTTCTGCTCCCTGTTTTCTGGAAATTATAAGCAGAAAAATTCTGTCATTTTTGCTACATTATTCACAATAGCGTGGCCCAAAATTAGGTCTGCTGAGTAATGGTGTTGATGCAGACAATTTGATACAAACAGCAAAGATTTGGGGTTTTGTATTTTAACTCAGATTATCTCCAGTCTAGCTCCATGGTGCAAATGCCACAGATCGCCATTCACCTTAATATCACCTGAAAGGAATCCAGTTCCTGCACTCCCAAACTCCACAGAACACCAGTAAACAGGAACAACTGGGAGAAAGATGTCAGAAGTGCAGTTCAACCAAAACTGAAGCACTAACACAGGTGCACCCACTGTACCTTAGGGGTGCCTGCTGCCATTTCTGGCTTGTAAAAGTTAATCCACAAATGAAAAGACAACTCTGTTCCAAACTATCCATTGATTTGTTAACCATCACATGGCTGTTTTCATAAGGGAAAGCAAGGCAGCTGGGACAAAAAGATATCAATGTAAGTATTCATTGAGTCATTAATTCAATTACAGCACAAGTATGACAGCAAAATAACTCACACTTAAGAAAACTAGAGCTGATTAAACCTAATTCTGTTTACCCGGAACAATCATAAAATTAAATCTCCATTACTAAGAGAAAAGAATGTCTCCATTGATCATTTCAATCCTTACCAGAAACACAGCAAGTCACTGAAATGTGATAGCTGTGAGCTGCAATTTCTTTCCATATTGTTGCAAAATCTCAAGCAAAGAGTTCAGAATTAAATGATATCATGCCTTTGACTGTAATACCTACCTAAGACTATAACTTAACATTGTGAGATTTCACCATTGTCAAACAGTTGTGACACCATGGTAGTCTGGAATTACAGCCAGTTATGTGCTCAGCAGAGTGTCTGCCCAGTCAATTCTCAGCTGCATGTTTCCTCTGGATAGCAGCAAATGAGCCCTGTGACATCCTTAGTACAAAGGCTAAAAGTTTAATTCATTTCTAAATGCAGAAAACCCCTTTGGGAAACCTTTGGCTTCCCACAGTATCACCAAACCATGCCCAGGTTACTTACCAAGCAGCTCCCCAAAGCCTGATGGAGCAGCAAGGCCAACAACCTCAGCACCCAGGCTGGGCTCGCAGTGCTTTGCACAGGAGACACATGCCTTCAGAGGGAAAGGTCAGAGCCAAAAAGCTGGTTTATATCTAAAAACAAAAAGTACAAAAAGGAGCACTGTTAACGCAAACACTCTGCTGTGGAAAGCAGTGCTACGAAAAATTCACTGCTCACATAAGAAACACAGTTCCTCAGGGAGCCACAAGGTAAACTGCCCCTGGGGGGAGATGGGGAGGATAGCAATTTGCAGTGCCAATCTGCTCTCGTGGATTCAATAACACAGGGTGAATTGAGCACCTTATATGGATTGAAATGCTGTTTTCCTGGTGAAAATCTCAACATGGTCTGATGCAGCTGTGTTATAAGAGTATTAAAACCAATCATCTCAAAAGTAGTTCAAAAGAAAATCAACAGAAGGACCTGGAGATGACACAGTTCCACCCAGACTGAGGCTCAAGCCTACCTTACCCTTCTAGTCTCTTTTGCTTCCATCCTTCCTGTGAGGTGAGGAGGTACTACAGCCTGGATCTCAGCTCCCTTACAGCTCACAGACAAGGAGATAATGGATGTAAACTTACTGCTAACACCACTCAATCCTCAGCACCATCCTTGACATCCTGGCTTCTAAACATCCCCAGGCAGAATTATTTTCCTAGCAATGCAACTCTCAGAAACCATACAGCTGAGTGATCTAAATTAGCAATTATGGTTTAAAGGATTAAGTAGCAGCTAAAGAAGGATCATCATCACCTGGAGTTAGAGCCTTAAATTTCTCTGCCTAGTCTTTGCACAAGAAAACTCAGTAGTCCTGCACATTAAATCTAAGTCTCCAGACCCCCTCACTCATCAGACCATTCATCAGACCATTCTCTCATTGAGCTTAAGAGAATACATAATGTGTATTTGGGCTAAAGAAACCCAGAAAGGAAATCCATTTTACTTTTTATTTCATTATTATACACCGTATTTTTTTAACAAACTCTAGTAACAAACTGCAGCCTGAATACTCTGCACAAAACTGCAAAGCCATAAAAACTACAGCAGTTATAAGAATTTGTGGGGTAAATATATTCACTGACTGCTTGCAGCACCCAAAACAGTGGGCAGCCAACAAAAGAACCAACCATCCTAACCGACATGACCCACAGGGAAATGTCTTTCTAATGCAGAGTTAGCGATTTGTTTAACTGCATCTGTGCCAGCTAGACACAGCCTAGCAGGAAGCTGATGGCTTCATCTCAGCTCCAGCTGTGCTCTGTCTCTCATTGAAATCAATGGGATTGCTCATGTTCTCAGAGGAAGGCACTTTTCCCAAGTTTGCTTGATTTTTATGTGCTTTCACAAGACAAAATAGAACAAGAAAAAAAAAAAGAATTGGGGTGTAATGAAAAGCTCCAAACTCTTTTCACTCTTTTCTTAACTTGAGTTTCTATTGTTTCTGTTATGATTCAGAAATTTGGGGTTCAGCTCCCATGTATGCCCCAAAAGTGCTTGAACATCTCCAGCCTCCCTCCTATTAACAGGAGAGGGCCAAAGAAAAACCAGTGCAGCAAGTTTGCATGCTCCAAGTGGAAGCACAGCTCTACTGCTGCACAGGAGGAAATTTATTATTGTTAGGTTTTTGCGGGTAGTTGGACACCTTAAAGCAAAGCTTTTACTTAGACAATCACCTTTATAAAAGACTCAAAGCCATCCAACCTGGCACCAAGACAAACAGAAGAAAACATTGTCTCCTGGGAACTGCCAAAAGTCTCCTGAAGGAAACCTAAACAAGGAGTGACTGTACCCACGGGCAGCTCAGGCATGAGAAAATGGTATTGTTAAATTGCACATTCAGCACACTTATCTGCTCACAGAAAGCACAAAAAACAGGAAGAGGGATTGGTGTGCTTGAAGAAGCTGGTGGTGAGTGTTGGAGAACTTGTCTGCTGCATGTTGCTGTTTCACCCAGCCTCAAAAGCAGTGCATAAGAGGAGGTGGTACACAATCCCACTCCAACAGCAGCCTTTGATACAACCATAAGCATGCAGCTGGGAATTCTGATGCTTTTTTTTTTTTTTTTATCTCTTGGTCTTTACACTGGTGAAAAGGCAGATTATGGTGCCATTCTTTATAATCCAAATATTTCCAGGAATCATAGAATGGTTTGGGTTGAAAGAACCTTAACTTGTTCCAACCCTCTGGGAGTGGGACACCTTACAAGGGGTTTCCCAGAGCCCCATCTTATAATGAATAATATAGAACTCAAGAAGCAGGCTTACTGAGCTTATTAAATGGCTTACGAGATATGATTAACTGCTAAGAATAGGAGAATAGGTCTCAACTATTCTTGCTTACGTAGGAGAAAAAATAATCATTTTACAGCAGCAATGACCCAGATGACAGATTTCATTTGAGGATAAAGATTATTTCAAATTAGAATTCCCCCTCAGATGATGATAGTTGTCTCCATAATTCTTCAGAGAATGTTTTTACATTCTGGCTGCCTGAGGGCCTTCATAACACTTCAGAGCACAGCACTCACTGTGCCACTGTGGCATGGTAATGGTTGCAAAACATGTCTGTGATGGCATTTGGTAATAGGGTACTGCATGCTCCATCAACTTACAGAAATCAGTATTAGCTACAGTAGACTAGAGACAGAAATCCACTGCCATCGTTTCTGTGGCAGAGCAACCAGATTCATGTAGAGTAACTCTTTTGCTCTCAGTGCTTGTCTTCAAGATTAGCTCTCAGTGCTTGTCTTCAAGATTAAGCTCTTTGTTCTAGACTTGAAGCAGGTGGAGAGCTTCCTTTTCTCCCAGCATAGCTGTAGTATCAAGAGCAGGATGAAAAATGATGGCAAATATTAACTAAGGCTAAAAAAAGTGACAGCTGCTCTGTAAACCCCTGCAGGTTTTAAAAAAAATAAATAAATAAAAAAGAAAGCTTTGCAAGCTTTTGTGTTGTTCTTTTCTTTCCAGCACTGAGAAGACAAATTAATGTTGCTATTAGAATTACACTCCCCTGGATCTTCATATGTCTAAAATAAACTTGCCATGTCAATAAATCACATGAACAATGGAGTTTAAATGGGTCTATTTTCTACTAACATAAACAAATCACAGTAGTGATTTTATTTTTCATGCGCACAAATAAAGATATATATATGTATGTAATCAGGTTGTTAAGCCTTATTCATTAACAACCTTGCAGCAGGAATATTTTGACTCTTCTATTTCAAATTTAATTACTACATGTGCAGCAGATGCAGTTCACATTGAAGAAAGCACTCATGAAAACACTACACAGTGTATGGCCACGCTTAACCCACTGCAGACACGTACATGCTCACTCCATTCAGCCTCCCCCTAATTGCTGCTGTACTTATAAATCTAGGACTGCTTGCCACAACAACCTATGCAAAAGCAATGGCATGGACACTTAGACAGACTCAGAGAGAAACATCTCAGACTTCTATTCCACCTTCTCCTTTACTTTCTGGCTTTTCTCTGGATTTCAGTTCCTCAGTTAGAGTGCAATGTGTGTGTTCTTTGCTGCTATCAGCATTTTCCAGAGCCAGCTGCCATTTGATATATCACAAACATTCTCACCATGAGAAACTTTACCTTGCCTGCCATCACTACCGAGACATATCTTTTGAAGGCCAAAGCTTAAAAGCACTGGGGAGAAGCACAGGGAGGAGCCATGCCACCACCTCCTGCAGGTGAGCATGGCAGGTAGAAGGGATGGGGAGGACTCATGGGGACCAGGAGAGAAGGGGAGCAAAGCGACAGCCCCAAGACAGCACAGAGACAGAAAAGCCAAAAGTGGTTGACCAAAGCAATGAGGATGAGAGGCAATGGGCACAAGGTGGAGCACAGGAGGTTCCCTCTGAACACTGGGATCACTTCTGTGCCGTGTGAGTGATGGAGCACTGGCACAGGCTGCCCAGAGGCTGTGGGATCTCCCTGGAGATCTTCAAAAGACATGTGGACATGGGACTGGGCACCCTGCTCTGATGTCCCTGCTTGAGCAAGGACAGCGCACTGAATAAGAAATTAAAAAAGCATGCCTATCTTGTTGTAACTATGGATCACCTTTAAGGATGACGTGGGACCATAGAACAAAACTGCTGTCAAAGGACCATGATTTATTTTTAGCTAAGGTTAGAAGGTCCATCAATGAGACAAGGAAATAAAGAGAGCTCATCTCATGGATAAGAAAGTGAACGTTGCTCTGTAGGGAGGAGGGAATTACCCTTTATCCTGGCTTCCACTATCGACTCTCTAGGCTGCTAATTAAATCCTTTAGATTTTTCATGGTTGATCATTAATTGTAGACTCTGCATTTGATAGGCACCTGATTTGAAAGTCTACAGCTTAAAACATACATAAGCAAAACAACTCCCAGCTACCACTGACAGTGATAAAAATTGTTTCTTGTTCTTGGTGCCTAATATCAGTTACTTGGAAAAAAATGCAGTCCTTGGTATCTCAGAAAGGGCATTCAAGATTAACAGATATTTTTGGTATTAACAAGTAAGCTTCAGTAATGAAACTTTCTCTGGGTTGAGTGTTAGGAAAATGAGTTCAGATTTTGGAAGGCTTATGTACTTACTCTCTTCAGAAAATACATGGGAAAAACTCAGGAGAAGAAGACTGCACCTACCTGCAGAGGCTGAACAGTGAGTGAGTAGCAAGTAAGCACTGAACGCACACTGACCAGCTGAACGCTGCTCATTAAGTGAACACCTCTATTCAGCACTGTTGAATCACAGTGGTAAAACAGTACCTGGTCAGTTAACTAAAGGCTGCTGTAAATTACACATGCAACAAGGTAAAATTTAAAGCAATACAGACAGAGTTGAATGTTAACTGTGTAATCTTGATATTGGATATTCCTGGTGTGGATTCAGCAGTATGTTATGTCCCTGTGTGTCTTCTGAGTGTGCGTGCATGTGCACATATGTATCCCTGGGGTGTGTATATCCATCTATGAGAATTCTGCAGCAGAAAAGAGGTTCCTTTTAAGTTTCCAGTAGAAAGTAAG